AAGGTCAGAATGGAATAGACCGGGAATGTTACGTCTGAATGGTATGAATGGAGAAGCGTAGAGGAAAATAATGGCTTTTCGCCGATTATCCGGAAAATGTGAACGTATGAATGAATTGCTGTTGGCCTGGAATAATTAACGCGAGGAAGAATGATTAGCGCAAAAATTCCAAACTGCAGAATTTATCCCCCGTATCCCTTTGTGTTTCCCCGGTATTGTTCTAAATTCAGTAACGGGAATTCATTTTCCACCGGTGCGAGTCCCGAGGACTAATTACGATATTGCAATTCGAGATTAATCACGCACGTAGAGTCTGCGGGAGGAAATCAAATTCGAAGTTGCGTGCCGCGACACAATCTCGGATGAAGAAAAGTCAAACTGGAACGCTCTGTGCCCCGACCTTCGTCTTGTCGATTGGCAGAGTCTGTTTTCACGGCCTCGCTGGAATTGATGACAGACTCATCTTGTCGAATTTGACTTCGGACGATCCGCTATAATGCAGGCGTGCGACGACCACACCCGAGAGCAAGGGGAACCCGATGAAGGACGAGGAGAGCGGGTCAATTACCTCCAGATCACCGAGAGAGATTTCGTACCGACAATCAGCCGCTGCTGTCGCTAAGGAACGCCGGTGGCATATGGCAATTTACGTCGCAGCACTTTCCAAGTGTCGCCCGGCCCGAAGGCCGTTTTTTCGAACGAGCATAAACAATCGTACATGATGCACGGTTTAACGTTTTTATAGAAAGCATAAAAAGGTCGATTGTTCCCTCATCAACTTCGGTCAATTGCAATCTCGGTTAAATTCGAGTCGAGATCCAATTGTACGCCGACACGATGAATTACGCAATCAATTTGTTTTCCAGATTACAGAGATAAAATATTTAGCAAACACGTATGTTTGAGAAACATTAACGCCATTAACTCGCAAGTGTGCACCTAATTAACGTGTCTTTTCCTCTGTCTCTCACAATGTACTGATCTAATTAAGTTATGAAGAGTGTTCCCGTTAACGATTAGCTTAACTGATACAAATTAAGCTAGATAAAACGACACGCAAGAAACAAGGTATATTTCTGCCCGCACGATCTTTTTGCATTTTTCTACGGCAAAAGTATCAACGTTCGCGGGGTTTAGGAAGGTTTAAGAGACCGATCTGCGCCGGCGACGGCGGCGGCGAGAGAAAATGGTGTATAACCTTGCTCGGACGACCTCGATCGCCTTCACCGAGGAAACCTGCGGTGTGTAGAGCCGTGACGACACACGTGCACACATACACACACGTGATCTTGCGACCGGCTGAGAGATCGAGCTCTCGACGTCGGCTGCGTAGAGTCGCGCGCTGTCGTCACGAGATCTTTTTCGCGTGTACCCGAACATCATCGCGACCAAGGGGGCGACCACTAGCTAAAATGTTGTCCCACCGATTACACGATTTCATTCGATTTTATCTGATTACAAATAATTTCATCTAATTGCAAATAATTTTCTCTTATATGCACGTTTAAACATATGTGACGTTGTTAAACCTCAAAGAGCTGTTAGATTTCCTCAAAATATATTTTTCTTACTTCACTAATTGTAAGAAGTATTTGCTCGTAGAAGTAATCAGTTAAGATTGTAGTATTCGGTTAGGATAGAAAAGGTGTTTCCTTGCTTTCCCACTTTTCCCACTGCTTTAACCGTGGTTTTAATAAAAAGTAATTTTGTATTTATGCGTACTGTTTGATTGTTCCAAATTTGCGCGCAAAGGTGTATCAACGTTTCAACTCGCTGTTGTTCTAACAGCGGCTATTTCACTCCTATTACGAGAAGAATGCGCTCTTATGGGTGTGAACTACGATATATATTTGAATATTCACTAAAAGAAGTAAATTAAAGACAAAACGATGACACGGGGATTTCGTAAGGATTTCACAATGATTTTGGAGACACTGTCCCACGATTACATCAAGTGGATTACCCTTGATCGCGACAGTAGACGTTCAAATGGTAGACGGCGAAAAATTTATAACGCGGGTAGTAACGAGATACATTCACAGAGCACGCGAAAAGTAGATTTCAATTTGTAGTCGAAGCTGAGCAACACGAGGCGAAGATTACTACATAACTTAACGATTGTTGGCTCGCGTTGAATTAAATTACGAGAAAAACGTCGACGTACGTCGACGAAGTACACCTCTCACTCTCACTTTTTTTTTCGCCGAAAGAAAATTTCACCGATCTTCGCTCGCTCCACGACTCCCCCCCCCCCCTCCTCTCACCTTCTACTCGGACATTGTACGGGATTTTAAACGACCGGCGAAACCCGACGGTCTTCCTGCCGCGACTCATTTCGACCGCGAGAAATTTCTGGGGCGAATGCCTGATTCACGAAGTTAATATTTCAAGAACATGACAAACCAATTTGGATTAGAAGCGACTAATTTAATGAAAATGTGGGCGGTTTGTACTTTTGAAGTTGTTTCCAGATTGTACTTGAAAAGGACCCGATGAAGAGGTTGAAACGTGACTTAAATACGTATCACTCTTTATACCAGTTTGGTTGAGTTTTAAAAGAATCTCCCCGTGTTTAATTGCCACTGACGACAATAAGCCTCACTCAATTTGGTTAATTTTTCTGCTCAGGCCCTAACTAGTCTCTCAACTCTGGGGAAAAGAAGACAGTTAGCAACCCATTTTGCGGCCTACAGTTAGTAATCGAATTTTTTTGATTGTTCGTAACATTCTACTCTGGGAAAAAGTTTGGATCGTTTGTTTGTAGTTAAGCAACTTAACATTTCGGTTAGTGCCTCGTAAAAGAAATATAATAATTCGATTACTAATTGCGGGCCCAAAAATGGGTTGCTGTCTTTTTTTCCCCCAGAGAAGGTCTGTATTCACGATGCTATTGGTTCAAGTTCTAGTTCCGTAAACTGTGTAGCGAATCAACTTGTAGCTATTACGGAACAGCTGCAAGTTGATTGGCTGTACATTTTACGGAACTAGAACTTGGA